CATGGTAGTATGTATGGTCATCAGGAAAGGCCAGCATAGACAGAAGTCCCATCTGAGTGCTGAGAAAACACGATTTTACGGAAAATAGCGAAAGTAAAATCAGCTGGCTTGGTTTGCACTGGTGGATTGCAAGATGTGTAGTATATAACCCAAATTTCACTGCTGAAATACTTCAGTAAAATACAAACCAAAGCCCTCTAACACTGTGGTTGCCACTGGGGGAGCAGAGCAGGACAAGAAGGGTACTGTAATTAGCAGGGTAATTAACAGTAAAATGCAGTTGAATAGGAAAACAATTTTTAGTTCAGAATTAGTGATGGCCTGTCCCAGCCTCACAGAGGGTAAGTTACATGTTTGCACTGATCTGATCCCAGAATGTGTCATTTTGGGAGCTAATTGAGTTTAGTCCTGGTTAGATTTAAAAATGTGTTAATGAAGATTGTCATTAAAACTGTGGTGACTGTTCCTGCTGATGGAGATTCCACAAAAAAAAAATCATAGTGAAAACTAAATAAATGAAAAGTATGTGAATTGTGAGGTAACTTGAATAAATTCAATTCACACTTATTTTACGGTTCTTTGCTGGTCCTTTTCAGGAGTTCAAACTCTCATTCCTCTGAGGGGTTTAAATTTCCATTTCAAAATAGAAGTAGTAGTTGTAAAGCACCTCTAAAGCATTTTCTAAAATATAGAAGTCTTAAGGAGTTATGTCACAATGTTGTCTACTCTAATAAGAAAATGAACCAAAAGTATCCAGCAGTCTTATTTTTTACCATTTGGATGGAAAAGAGGAGGAGAAGGAGAAATAATAATAATACTGTAATACCAAACCTTTTAACTAGGAATAGAATTTGAAAACAAAAAAGATGAAGGTTAATTGTATTTTCACGGACAGAATGTGTAACTAAGCAATTCATTTTTTAACAGGGAGAGGAGAACAAAGATTTTTGACTTGTTTCACTTGTTAAAATTTAGAACTTTAACTGAAAAAAGGAAGAGATTGGGTCATTTTCAGAATTCCCATTGGGATATAACCCTGTCTCTGGCAGCTTTAGCCCTCTTCCAATATCTGCTCTTCAAGTAGCTGCACAATTAATTTAAACTTATTTATTGTATTGTGTGCAAATGAAGCCTGTATTACGTTTTAAGCATCTAGTGATAAGTAGTGTTTAGTGTTTGTGCTGGTGGTGGTGACTGAATTACACAAACTAATTAATACTATTTCATACCAAGTGCTAAAGCCCTGTCTCACCCTGTGTTTTTTAATTTGTGTGTGTTGTTCCCCTGAGAGATATTTTTCATTTTAAAAGCATCATCCGTCTCTCAGGGTTTGTGTTGAAACATGTAATCTGAGAAGATAGATCTCAATTTGATAATGCAGGTTAAAAAAAATGAAAAAATATATTTACAGTCAATTCAGTCTCAATAGTAATTTAAATAGTCAAGATTATTTATTTAGCTATGGATTATTGTAAATTTTGCAAGTTTACGTGAGTCAAAATATGATTGATAAAGGTAATGGCATGAGGGCAAAAAAAAAGATAAAGATGTCAATGCAAATAACCCTCACCCATGTCTGGAAGGAAATAAATTGTAATTCCAGCTTCTGGAAGGGAAGTAAATTAAAAATAAAAATAGATTTATTGAAATCTGCTATGCTTAGTAGAACATCATCTTTTAAATCCTTTGTTCCGCTACTATAAGGTAAAGATGAAAACTAAACCATACCATATTTTATAGCTGCCTGAACAACTAAAAGAGAGTAAGAATTGCACAAGTGGCAGAGAAACATCCCAGCTTCTGTGCCTTTATGACATCAGCTTCCTGCTGGATATTTTTTTGTGAAATCACATTTTCTGCCACCCACACATGGGCAGCGAGACCACTGTGCTGCAACATTGATTCTTCAAAGACTTCCATACTCAGAAACTTGATTTCTGTTCATCCCCTTGTGTAGTGAACTAAGAAAAATAGAATTTTACAAGACATTCACATTGCAAATGTACACACAACTCACAAAATTGCATTAAATACACAGATATGAGATACCCTTTACTGTGCCTGTACACAGACGATTGTTCTTTAGCAGAAAGATAACAAAAAAGTGCTACAGCTTCTGGCACATCATTCATGTTCTTGAATTTGTCCTCTTTTAAAGTATTTCTAACAATTTAACATTGCAGGATGCTGTAAATAAGAGCAAGGCGATTACTAAAGTTAATATTTCACACCTTGATTTTATTTTGTGTAGTCTCATTTTAGTATTTTTTTAGTATTCTAATTATTTTCTCCTTTTAGGTTTTTGGGTTTTTCTTTTTTTCACTCTAGGTTGATAAATACAAATATTCTGTGGCAATTACACAAGAGGTTTTTCCTTTCTTGCCTCATTTTCACTCAGTTAAGTAGAAACTCCTGCTTTCTTTGGTCTTAGTTGCCTGATGGCAGACTTCAAGATACTTTTTGTGGTGCCAAATTAGTGAATTCCTGCAGGAAAGAATTATGATATACTGGTGTCAGTAGGTGTGGTGGTGGTGTCTCCATCTCATCCGTGACTTAGATATGGCATATCTTAGATATTTTGTTTTATTCGTATTATTTTTGGTTTTTTCCATTGTTTGGGGTGTGTTTGGTATTTGGTTTAGGCTTTTTTCCTATTTTTCAGTTTGGTTTGGGTTATTTTTGTTTTGCTTTGGGGTTTTTTTTTGTTTGGTTGGTTTTGGTTTAGAGGGTTTTTGGGCAAATGGTTGATGTTTGGGTCACGGGTGTTTTGTGTTTGGGTCCAAGTCTTCAGCGTGTACAGAATTAATTTTTATCATCAGAAACAAGTGCTGAGAGACCAGTTCAAAGTCTGTGACCACTGGTTTTGGTTTAGTACCAGGATTTTGGACCCACTGAGTTTTGGGGTGTTTGTGCTGCAAGAGAAGGGGAAGACAAAGTTCCCAAGAAGTCGCTGACTTAAGAAATGTAAAGCGACTTAAGTCGCTGCCATAAGAAATGTAAAGCCTCCCTAGACCGTGGTAATGTCACCAGCTCCTAACAAAGAATTAGTAGAAAACTTAGTAAAACTAATTCAGAGTCTAAATGTCAGGTGCTCTTATCAATGACAAAGGATGGAGTGAACAAACATGTGTCACAAACTTTCTGCTGCTTCATGTCTTCCAGAATCCTGGTGCTTAATAATGTGTTCTTGGAGACTTTAAAAAATGTTCCCACTGTAGGGAAAAGCTTTCATATTTAACATATTTTCTTTTAAATGTTGGACGGAATGTCTTTGTTGTCTTGATACATCTTGGTAGAATCTTTTTGTGGACAACCACGACACTGGTGGTGGAGAGGAAGAAGTTTAGTACAAATGACAAAAATAAGAATATTTAAGTTTTTAGCAGTAAAATTTTGGGGGTAAGTTAAACCATAGGAACTATTCGAAATCTATTGGTCATTGATGGCAGTTTTACCTGGATTCTCTTGTTTAAAGATCAGAAGAAGATTTAAACCCTTCCACAAGCATGTTTAAGAAGAATACACAGATAAATGAATATTTACAGTATATAAACCTTCATGTAAGCTTGGAAGGATCATATTTTTTGCAAATCACAGACAATTACATAATATTTGTAGTGTGGTTCTACTCTACACAGTTGAGTTGAGAGACACTTCTGATTTCCCCTTTATGAGCTGTAAATAAAGATGAGTTTTGTTGCTGGATGAGGCAGTCCAAACACAAGGTCCTCACTGGAGTGGCTGTGCTTGCTTGACCTTTGTGGAAATTGTTGAAATTCTGATTTCCTCACACTTTTACTGTTTTACAAGGGCCTGGCCACATGCACAGTCCTTTTCTCTTTCTTTTTTTCTTATCAGAGATTCTCCCCATCAGAAGGTGCCCAAAGAAGTCTCCCTCTTCTACAGCACATCAAATGCCTTTTTATTAGCTTTTCAGAATTGTTATTGAACTTTCTTCTCCAGTTTGTAAACCCTCTGTACTTCAAATTGCTTTCTACTACTTACTTTATGTGCGTGTTTATGTAGTTTACACTATTTCAGCTTTCGTCTGATTCCAGGATGTGAGAGGTTTCATTTATTTATGCAAGATCATAGGAAAAATTCCAGCAGTAATTATTGGTGAAGCGATGGTATTTTCTCTGCTTTGCTATTGCTGGACTTTATAAGTGTGTGCTCACAGTTAAATAACTTTTAGCTCTATATTTTCTCCTGGAGTTACAGGTACCCTGCCTGCCAAAGCCATCCTCTTCATCATCTTTTCATTCAGATGTTTTTGCCTTTCTCCTGTAGATTTTACATTTACCACTAATCTTTGTAGATTTCTGGATTATTGTCTAACAGAGATGTTAGATGTGTTTGCTGGCAGTACTGTTTGTTTATCATGGGCTGTGAGGGAGTTCAGGAGTAGCCAAGAGGCTTTAGAACCTCGTGGGATGGTACAGCAGATTTGGGTATAAATTTGGGTTTGAGAGAGGAGTGTGAGCATGGAGGGATAGGAGTGCAGCACTGAATTTATATGGCTGATGAAACCACCAAAATTCTAAATATTTACAAGAAGAACTTGGAGTCTCTGTCCTCACAGGTTAAATTTTGTAGTTTACTCTATTATGAAAAAATGCATGAAAAATATTACTGCATTATTATGCTGTTCTTTACCTCTGGACTCTCCCAAGAACACTTTTCTATTCCAGGGTTCCCATCTTACCCTTCACCAGTATAGATGTCTGGTTATATGATCTGAATGGTCTATTACTCTTCTTTGTAATGCATTAAGTTATTTATATTCTGCACACACAACTGCTGTAACAAAGTTTTAAGCAATATACCTTGGTAGAAGTATTGGCTAAGAATTTTAAAATTTATTTTATTCTGCTAAACATTATGGGACACTATCCTGAATACTCTAGGCTGGATGCTGTAGCTGTGAGTATGACAATGACCCAGTGTGGTATATACAAGCTAAGTGGAATTATTTAGCAGTATTTCTTTTTTTTTCACAGCCTTTCATGTCCCCTCGGTACCCTGGAGGTCCAAGGCCACCTTTAAGAATACCCAATCAGGTAAGAATTTATCACTCCGGAGTGAGTGTTTGCTGTTTTACTTAATTCTGTGTAAAATGCATCAATCTCTCTACATAAAATTATGTTTACTTCACAGTAAATATGGAGGTTATTGGTGAAAAACAGATACCATGAAGTGCTTGTGTGGCTCTTACAGACACTCTGAGGACTTTATAAAAAAGTGTTGAATTCCCAGTTTACCCTCTTCCCTATCAAAGGATGCGTCTGCCAGCGAGACAGGGATGTAATGAGCTGCTGTTGGTCAACAGGGACCTTCATTGGCCCATCTGTGAAAAGATGGTTCTGGAAGTGGAGAGCATTTGTGTGTTTAAGTTCTCCATAGTGTTTCCAGGGCTGCCTTTCTTATTGTCACACTATACCCCAATCTCATTTTTGGCTATTTTTTGTATCCATGTGACACAGTGTCAACAAATTTGTCTCTAGTTTTGGCACAATATCACCAGAAAGGATGAAATTTAAATAGTATCTTAGCAAAGGTATTTGAGCTCCGTATCCAAGTATTTGGGTTCCACACACTCTGTGTTCCTGGGCACTGCAAATCCTGGCAGGGGGGAGCTGGACGTGCTGAGTGGAAGCGCTGCCAACCTGCAGATTTAGTTTCAGGAGTGTTGTTTTGTCTGCACACTGTGATATTTTCGGTTCAGAGCTGGAACATAATCACATAATGTCAGTGAATTACAGGTCTGGCTTCATTCATGTTATGCCGTGTTCGTGAATTGCTACTTTTAGCACCACTGCCATGACTCAGGTTACAGTGTGGATGGGCAGTGTGTGGAAGCAATGAACTATTATAGTACAGCTTTAAGGCTCAGATGAGTTGTTAGTTTGGTCCTGGTCTAGTGGGACATGCCCCTGCCCATGGCAGGGAATTGGAATGAGGTCAGCTTTAAGGTTCCTTCCAACCCAAACCACTCCGTGATTCTGTGATTTACTCATTCTGTGATTTACATTTGTACTGAAAATTTGGTGCTGTTTTGGAATGCTAAATAGCACCCAGTGGATCAGCCACAAAGATCCATTAATAAAAACATTTTTCTACTTGGCCAAACTTCAGTTAAGATCCTGTGAAAATGAGCCTTAACCCTAGTTCAGCAAACCCAAAGGGTAGATTAACAAGTGGGGACATTAAGGCACATTACTCTTGGCTCAGAAGAAAAAGCCAGGAATTAAAAAGTAAAATATATATGTTATGTCTTTAAGATAAATTTCTAAGCATTAAGTGCTTTTCCCGGTGGTTTCCGTTCCTTCAGGCCCTGGGAGGTGTCCCTGGAAGTCAGCCACTCCTGCCCAGCGGGATGGACCCCACACGGCAGCAGGGTGAGTTCAGCCACTCCAAATTACTACCTTCACACACTTGTATATTTCTCCCTGTATTTCAAACCCTACTGCACCTCTTAAAGTTTGTTTTTTTTTTTTAATTAGAAAGGATCAATTTGCTAAAAGTTGCCTGTGTATTGTGTAATTTTTAATGTGATGTGACTTTATTGCAGGACATCCAAACATGGGAGGGCCGATGCAGAGGATGACTCCTCCGAGGGGAATGGTGCCATTAGGACCACAGGTACCTTCTACAGATGGGTTATTCTTACTTGACAGGCCTGTACATATATTCCTCTGACTTTCTGTAACTTGAAGGTGCCCAGGATTTGTTTTCACAATCCTCTTCTAAAATAAACTTCCAGTTTTACAAAAAAAAATTAGCTCTGAATTGCAGCTGTGCAAAATCCAGAAGGAAAAATCTGTCCTTTTTGTTAAGATTTGGAATTAAATGGGGAATCCCTTCACTTGCTTATTTCAGAAAAATGTGTGCTGTCATCAAAGACTGACATTGGTAAGGGAGACCAAGGGTGGAGTAGGTGTTTCCTCATCCTGCTCATGGATAATTATGCTGATTAGGAGGAAAAATACTTCTAACTTAGGGAAACTCTTTGTACCAAAAATACCCCTGGAAATTCTGTGAAGTTTTTCTTTCATCTACTCTTGATCTAAATTTTTGGTGAGTGCTGGAGAGATTTTAATGTAAAACAAGATGCTCCTGTTGCCGTTTCTTGCCCTTGTCCACCATGAGCAGATCTGTGGCTCTGTTTCAGCAGTGGACCAAGGCAGGAAACAAACGGCTCTGGTGCACACCTGAAACACAAATCCAAAATATTTTTCTGCGTTTTGTCAACACTCTCATTGAGGGAATGTGTAGGTGGTGGTGTTTCATATTGGTGTTGCCAGTGTTTTGTTTCACAGTGTGCTTGTTGTGCCCACACTTTGCATTTTCACTTCCCCATTTCAGATAATCTCTCTTGTGGCTTCTTGTTTGGATAACAGCTACATTTTTAATGATTAAATATCTTTGTCTTTCCAGTTCTGTCCATAACTGTCTCTACAATTTTGGGTTTTCTTGGTACAAACCAGTTGTGCAGTTCCATACATTGGCTGTGTGACCAAAAAAACATTATTAAATACATTTCTCAATTTTTTCTGTAGCACTGAAATACATTTACCATTTTTGGAGGTAGAAGGAGAAGCTTTGCTGTGCTGCCATGTGAGACAGAGCTGATCCTTTATGCAGCACCATTAGTCACACAGCAGGCAAATTTCATGCCAGTTTTTTTATGAGGATAATTTTCCCATTTTTGCTGTTGTTTAAAATCCAGTGGTTTTGTAAGTTTCTCCTTTCTTGTGCCAAACATCCTCTTAAAAGGTAACCTACCCAAAGCTTAAGTTCACAAATTATTCTATAAATGGGAGTGCTCTTATTTTAGGACAAACTAGTAAATTTGTTTAGCAGTTGCAGTAATTACAGTTAAAAGTTAGACTGTGAGGTGGGACAGACTGTTCTGCTTGTATCCCACTGAATAAAACCAGGCATAAGTTACCTTTTTGTTTAAGTAGTAGAGTTCAACTTCTGTCACGATATCAGGGCATAAACTCAGGCTTTATGGGCATCAGGTAATTCATTTATTAGCATTGCTATGACATTAAATATCATAGGAAATACTCTTAATATTGGTTATCATAGAGCTGGGCTAGTGGAAGGTGTCCCTGCCCAGGGGATTGAAACTGGGTGGTCTTTAAGGTCCCTTCCAATGCAAACCCTTCTGGGATTCTATGATTTATTAGAATGGAATAATTGGAAGAGAGATGTAATGGTTATGCTGTATGTTATTAAAGCTATATGATATGGTGTAATTTTATACAAGCATAACAAAATTTAATTTAACAGAATACAGATTGACTTCCATGATATAGAAACCTCAGAACCTCAGACAAGATTTTGGATTTTCAACTCCCTTGGTTTAGAAGTCGAATTCATTGTAAAACTTCCTTTACTGGCCATCAAGTTGTCCTCAACATGTGTAAAATAATAAATAATTCCTCCTGGAACAACTTTAACCATTCTTAGCCTATTTCTGTCATTTGTAAACCTTCCTCCATGGGGTTAACAATATTGTTTTTTTAAGTCAACAGTCAGGGATCTCCTGAAAGCATGAAAGGCACTGGCCTGTGCAGGCAGCAGTTCCATGGGGACATCATTAACCTGCTGTCCTTTCTTTTCCCCTCCTCTTTGGTTTTGTTTTTTTGTTTCGTGGTAGTCTGACCCTTGGTTGTCATTGCAGAACTATGGAGGTGCCATGAGACCCCCACTCAACGCTTTAGGTGGCCCGGGGATGCCTGGGATGAACATGTAAGCACAATAATAACTCTTACACTATCTAGAAAATGTCATTATTTCGCTGTAGAAGTATCATTTGCGATAGATCAGATGAGGATAACATGCTTTGATAACTAATAAATGAAATTTTAAGAACTGGACTCACAGTCTCTCACAGGAAGCTTTGCTGTCCCAACAAATCTGTACAAATACTCAGTTTCTTTCACAGATCAAACTTCAAATATTGGGAATATTTTGTCAGTATAATCACTGAAGAACGCTACAACTATGGCTCTTCTCTGCAAAATAAATCAGTACTTAATTTTAACAAAATAGCCATTGTCTAGAACTATTTAAAAAATACATTTGAAAGAAGAAGTGGTGATGATTCTTTCTCAATTGCTGTTTTTATTTCCATAACTACATTAATTTCCCCTCTAAACAGAAGAGCTTTATAGATATGAGTATTTTTTTTTTCAGTTTTTCTGTGTTGTTCTGGAGCTGGATCATCATCTGGTAAAAATTTAAATAACAGAATTCAGTTAAGCCGTACTGATTTATTCCAGGCATTGGTTTAGCCATGGGACTGTATTATGCCTTTTATAACTGAAGACAACCCCCCTTTCTAATTGTGTAGAAATACTTCAGATGTAAAATAAGGAAAACACAGTGATATGCTTTTTATCATTATATCATAGACACACATTTTTTTCTCTTGTTTTTATAGAAAACATAAATAAAAAATTGTAATTTTCATTTCAAGTAGACCTATCAACTTGAGAAAGTAAAAGAGGCGTTGAGATTGATAATAACATTAAAAAAGAATAAATCTAATCCACCATATTCTTAATTTATTCTGGTTTCTAGACATGCCTTGAGTTCTTGAAGTAAAATCTGAAGTTGTGTGTTACTCCTATCATAGACATTACATATGGGACTCAAGTAATTCTAGGAGCCTTCTCAAGGGTAGGCATTTATGCTTTTAAATTAAATTGATGTAAAACAGATATTTAGATATTTGAAATTCAGTGTGAGTGTAGAATAAGCACTATAGAGGATTTCCTCAGCAGAAGTCTGAATTATAAGAAAAGAAAATTAACTTCCCAAAATAAAATGTCGTAGAAGTAAAACTGAGGATAGATATTTTGAAGGTATTTGTCCACATAAATGAGAGTTTACATAGGAAAAATAAGAAAAGAGGCTTCTGGATGACAAGAATTCCTGGCCTACCAGAAACAGAGAAGATGGATGGAAATGCTAATGTTGCAGCATTTAATAAGCACATTCCATCAAACAGCGGAGTTGCTGTGATCTGGTTTTCTTTAAATTGTATTTTCGGGACACCAGGGTTTTTCAGATTTCAGTTAACACTGAAATTTCAGTGAAGACTCGTTGTCTGGTCAGTTCCAGCATTCAGGATCAGAGTTCATCAAGGATGGCCCATGGGCAGTGGCAGTGGATGGACGCAGCTGTACTAAATGTGTTCTCTGTTTTATCCCTTACAATTTATCTAACGCTTAGTGCAGGAAACGACAGTGTGAGTCATTTAGGGAAATTAAATTTCCAGGAAACAGGAAAACTGCACATAAGGGCTGTTGCCTTTTAGTAACCTACAGTTGTCTTTACATACCTGTGTATTTTCTTTATATGACAATTTTTCACTCTTCTTTTAATGTTTTTGGACTTTTGGCAGTGTTAAAATCCAAAAATGTATGCCTGCAGAAAAAGCTGCCATTTAAAAATCCAGCCTTTTCTTCTTGGAAAGCTCAAAAGGAAGCTGCTTTGGTCAAGAGCAGACCATCTGCCAAATATAATTGTACATTTTTCTGGGTGAAAAAGTGTCCTTTGCTGTTGAAAATGGCAGCCTGGGGACTCAGACAGCATTTCAGTCCATGTACTCCACTAGTGCAGCACTCCTAATTTCTTCCTCTGTCATCAGTAATACTGTCAGATTTCTGTTTGAAACAGAAAAAGCCATGTTTTTCTGCAGAATAACTTTATTTTATCTTTAAGTTTTTAAGCTAAGATTTGATGTAGCTGTTTTTAGAAAAATGTCATGTCTTGTGGGGGAAAAAAGCGCCATTTTTTGGAACAAAGAGGCAGATTTCAGGGAGCAGTGTTACGTTTCACTGGTGCTTTCCTTGTGTGACCTGCAGTGCTGTCTCAAGCACTAAGAATATCTCTGTCATGCCTCAAAAAAAAAAAAAAGTGTGATTTTGTCTTTTAACTTCAATTCACAAACTTGTGTCTGGAGGTTTAATTTCCTGATGGAATATATTTGCCCCTTGGGAAACTAAAATTTCAGATTTTTATTTTTCTAAGCACCAGGATTGACAAGACAGGACAACTAAGCTAAAATTGGTCATAGTGGTAAATACTTCATTAATTATTTTGGAATTGGTACATTTATAATAATGTTTTATGACTCTGCTTCCAAAATAAACATTTACTGAAGGGCAAAAGACCTGCTTGCATTGGATTGAAAAAAACTGCAGGTTGGGTTTTTTTCAAGTGTGTTTTTGTAAGCATTTGGCTCCACAAAATCCATATGGCTTTACAGCAAAATCTGCTGCAGTGATTTTTGTGTCTATTCTGAGACCTGGCCAATAAATTCAAAAATTCCAATGGCTTTTTAGATAAAAGCTGAGTTTCCTGGTCTAGGGGTAAATTCCTAAATTTATCTGAGTTACTTAATTGGCACAGAAACAAGTGCAGGGTTTTGAGGTGAAAACAGACTTTTAAGTGTTGTTACAAATATTCCTGATTTCTTTCTCTGAGAGGATCCAATAAACCAAATAAATGTAGGAAAAAGAACAATGGGGGGGAATTAAAGAACAGTAATATTTCACCATCTCATGTTAGCATTGGAGAAATTGCTGAATATTTGACATGAGAAGTATTTCCTCCCAATTAATAAGGCAGAAAAGACCCTCACCAACATTCCTGATTTCCAACATTCCAACAATAATACCAGTGGAAATAAATCAGTTTTCAGTTGATTTTTTTTCTTTTGAGGTAATTCCTTTATAGTTTCATCAACAGTGTAATAAAAAAAAAAATACGATTAAGTATTAAATCCCTCAGGCAACATAGGCACTTAATAGTTTTTAGTTTTGGAAGACCTAAAAAAGGGATAGGAAACTGTATGAACTCATTAATCAGGTGTGATTTTTTTCTCTCTGTTTAAATCACTCCCCTGTGCCTGGTGAGCTGGGGTGGTTAATGTTGCTTTTCTACAGCTAATGAGGCCAAAATGCCATTTTAAATGTGGAAGTTTTGTCATCTGCTCTGTTGTCACGGCCTTCAAGAAGTGATTCTGTCTTGTTTATAAATAACGAGAAGCTCCTAATGCTCCCAGAAATAATTATGGTTCCTGTGACTGTAAATATGGAGATTTTACCTCTTGTGTGGCTTTAGTTCCCTCAGGATTGTTGAGAGATGAAGCCTCACCGCCAAACTATTTTTCTGAGCTCAGCTGAGAGTGAGAAACTTATAAAAACAGCAAGAATTGTGAGAAAAACATTCTCAATCTGAAGAGTTTTCTGGTTTTAATAAATAAAATTTATTATTGTTGTGGTGATTATTATCATTATTACTGGGTAATTTTTTTTGTTGTTTTTACCATCATCATCATCTAGGGGCTATACCAACGTATTTTTCATGGCCTGTTCTTTTATAAATTAGGTGTTCTCAAAATATGTCTCATATAGCATAATTTTATATTTTATTTTTATTTTATATTTATTTACATTTAATGTATATATTTATTTTTTAGTTTTACTTATTGCTATTTCTATTTATTTTATAATATATATTATATATAATATATAATAATGTAATTTTCTCTTTTATGTAGCATATTAATAGCATAATTTCTGCTGGTGAAAACTTACTATACTGCAATATTCTAGATCCATAATGAATTGCCTGCATCCTCAGTTCTTTAGGAAGGGGGCTTAATTATGTGAACAAGATCACTTGTTTTATGACTGAAAGTTTATTTATTTTATGACTAATATTTATTAATTTCACAGTAAATAAATTAATCAACTCACCACTGGTTAAATGGCAGTGCAACAATGAGAATTCTGCTCTAGCATTTTAACTTGGTGTAGTCATGGTTTATAAACTCACTTTAGTTTGAAAAAAGCAACCTTCTTCCTTCCCTGGAGATAGATAACTTAGATTTTGTTCCCCAGAGGTGGTCAGAGGATGGGGATGGTTCTGTGTCTCATCATTCATCTTCTGTTACAGGGGTCCTGGGGGTGGCAGACCATGGCCAAACCCAACCAATGCTAATTCTGTAAGTAAATATTAAACATATATTTGACATCTTGTATTTGGGGAAGTATCCTTACATCAAGTCCAGCACTTCCATAGCATAAAGGTTATCCTGGGATCCCACATGAGCAGCAGTGCCTGGTATTTCTTCAGAAAACACAAAGTTTTCATTGTCATTCAGGGATCACACATCATTAGTTTAAATATGTCCATTTTTGGCATTTGCACAATGGATAAGGTGGGTCTGGCTTTTCCTGTTACACAGTTCTTTCTGTTTTCTCAGTTTTGGTATTTTAATTCTAGTAATGACAATTGAGGAGAGGGGGAGAGTTGAAACTCTTCCTCAGTTTTCTTTTGCATGTAGGTACCTGATTAAAATGGGTATTTTTCAACTGATAGTTGAAATATGTTCATTCTCTGAAATTAATTGAGTAGTCCAGTAATAGGTGTATTCGTAACAATCAGTGAATTGACAAGTTGTCTGTCAAGAAATTTGTATTTTCAGTTGCTTCTCCTGCATCAGCACTGGCTGGGGTTACTTTGGAGAGAATAATTGCAAAGGCTGTCATAAAGAAGAAAATCAGATTATTCACAGGATTTCTCCAGATACCCTCTTTAACAAACACCACACTTGAATTTGAGATGAAAACTGCCCTTGGGGAAAAAAAAACATAATGCAAAGAAATAGAGGTGTCTTCTGGGTTGAAAAATATGATAGTTTTCTTTCCTTTTATGGTTAAGATTTTAATCAAAATTATGTATCTGTAAGAATGTACAAAATCATTTCATGCTTGGATGGCTCTGAAGTCCTGTGGACTGAAATGCAAGTATGTGCTGCTGAAGCTTATAAACCTTATAAAGTATATTGCCTTAATAATATTAACTCTTTTGATATTTTAATATTTTTATAATTAATATTTTAATAGTGCTGAAAAGATGTTTATTTTGATGACAGAGTAATTTTTCCCATAATTTTAACTGTGTGTTTTAATTACCCTAATTAAAAAAATAAGCATTAACCTGCAGCTGCAGGGACTCCCATGTTACTGCAGAGGAAATCAGTGTTTTGTCTCTGTTGATATTGCAGATACCTTATTCTTCAGCATCTCCTGGGAACTATGTAGTAAGTACATTTGCGTGTGTTTGTCTGTTTGACATCACATTTTATTTAAGCAAAAAAACCCAGTCCAGATGTTGAGAGGAGCCCCCGTGTATTGGTTGGGAGCGGCACATCTGATCTGCACCAAGGTGTTCTTTCAGCCATTCCTGGTACAGATGTGGGTGTTCTTCAGTAGGACCCTTATCAGTCTGGTCAGAATTGCCCTCAGTGCTTTTTGACTCCACTAAACATTTTTATAACTAATACAAATGTATTGTCTTCAATAATAATGGGCAAAAAAACCTCTCAGCTTTCTGGGTAACACAGTGTTTTGTCTGAGGTTCTGAACTTCTCCAGGAAAAAAATATTTACATATAGCACTGGTTTTTGTCTCTGCCCCCAGAGATTAACTTTATTTATTGTTTTAGGCTCTTCATTGTTGTAGTTATTGTTGTACTCTGATTATTTGTGTGTCTAATGAACTCTCTAAGGTAGATTGTGTGGACTGTTTTTATCACATGTATAGAACTAGTGTCACAGGGTAATAGGAGAGAATTACATATTTAAAAGCAATTTATTTTGTCCTTTATTTATGCAGTTAGCTGTGGAAAAGGTTATGATTCTCACAAGTGTCCATAACTGTGGTCCTCCTTTTGCCACATGTTTAGAAGAAACAGCCCAAACCTGCTGATCTCCAGACCAGTTCCTTTAACTCAGAACTTCACAAATTTCTTTCTGTGTGGAAGAGGTTTGTGGTTTTGGTCTCAGCATTTGTGACCAGTTATTGTTGGAGATTTTAAAAGTACTTTGGGAATATTTTGCTTCATAGAAAGCAAGTGTTCGGGGATGAGGGAAGGCCAGAGAGCTCCTAAAAGAAGGCTTTTTGTCAAAGGATTTGTGATCTGGAACTACACACTTTGAGAACTTCATAGGAATAATCTATGTATAATATATTAATATATATGCACTTCTAGAAATATATAAGTATATAAGTATATATAATATATATAAATGCACAAATATAGAAAATATACAAATATAAATATACTCTCAACATGAAAATAGTTGATACCAGAAGGGTTTGTAAGAGAAAAAAATAAACAAACAATGAAAGTAAATGCAAATTTACAATTAGAGGCAAGAGTTAATGAAGACAAGTAACTTTTCTGATAAATGGTCAGCTAGTGGTTTCTGCACCTCTTTATGTGATGTTGAAAAATACATAGAAAGAGAGACATTAAAAATCAAGTTAGTGAGATTTAGTGCACAGGTATATGGATAAAAAGTACATGGATAGTCTTTCATGCCTAGATATGGATAAAATATGGATATGTTTATACGGATAAAAGCTTATGGATAAAAAGTATATAGATAGATACCCTGTAAGCAGAGAGGAACAACCAAACCCTTTTATTTGCTGCCACTGAAAAAAAAAATATTCCTGTCTGAAATAGTATATCTACTGGTTTGAATTATAACAAAAGATAGAAAGTAATAGTCACGTGGCAATGGAAAAATAATGTATTACTAGCAATCTGACTGCTTTTTATTACGGAAAGTCTGTATTTAACTTTTATTGACATAGACATTTTTGCCACAGTGGAAGTTGGTAGTTTTTCATGTTACTTAAAGATATTAGTGGCTCTGCAAACACAGGAAACAAAACGTTATGGTTCTGTTCTTACTAAATGATTAAGATTATTAGAATAAAATTCCTAGAGAAATTCTGTAAGAATCCTAAAACTCCTGTTTAACAACCAGAGTGGTTTGTGTTCTTAGTCCTGAACAGATTTGTGACCCAGAAATACCTGAAACTTTAAAAAAGCAGGTGTTCCTCGATGGTTTTTTTATGTTTGGGGATTTTTTTTAATCTTTCATTTCATGTTAACTGACATTTTTTCCTGTCTCCAGGGTCCCCCAGGAGGTGGAGGGCCACCAGGAACACCCATCATGCCTAGTCCTGCAGGTACTGAAATGTACTAGGAAATTATAAAATCATAATGGATTTTAGGAAGCACACAAATTATATTTTTTAATAAAGTGTCAGATAATAAATTATTTGATTTATATTTTCTGCATCAGGTTTTTCTTCCCCTACTTGCTGTCGTCTGCAGCACTGGAGGGCAGGGAACTTTCCTCACTGACCATAAAAACTTACCGCACCATAATATTATTTTCATTAAATACAATTCCACAGATTTTTGGTTTTTTTTAAAAAAGCAACCTAAGGTAAAGATGTTTTGAAAGTTCTATTTTCCAAAGTGTGAAAACACTTAGGAATTGGCCGCCCACAAATTTTGCCAAAGTGTTTACTCTCCCCTGAGACAAACAATTCAAGGATTCCCACAGCCCAGCCATCCATCCCTTGTGTATTTTTCATGAGCTAGCAGGACATGGGCAGAGCCAGGGATGTATCTTGGATAAAGAACTTTTTGCCTACCTTACTGAATATTAAAAATAACTTAAAATGCTGATTTTACTTTAGGCTGAAAGCCTTTTGTGTCCCCCTTTTCTTTGGACAGCATGTTTGAATGTTCTAGTGATATACAGTGCTCTGTATATAACTCAGTTATTTATTTTAATGAACACTTAGAGAGTCATTTGAGGAAGATGAAGCTGTAGACAAAAGCCTTGATTTAACTTCCCTGTGTACACAGAAATGCATTGGACGTGGAATGGCCTTGTGCAGGGTCTGGGTACAGAGTGCTGACCTCTCTTTATTCTCTTTGCAGAAAAAAATTATTTTCCAGGGTTGCCAATATTTTCTGTTAAATCATGCTGTACCTTTAGGGATGCATTTAGACTTTCCTTAGGTTTTCAGCATTTGGGGGGGGGGGGGGTTGAAGCATTGCACCATGCTATACCATGATGATCCATCAGACAAAGCCTCCCTCAAAAGTGGGGATTGTTGCACAGTGTCCCGCTGAGGAGCTGGATATACCCAAAATCAAATAGACTGACAGGCATGAGAGTAAAAAATTTTCACTAACTCACAGTCTGTGTAAGAAAAGTTGTTTTATCTTTTCTTACAGATGGAAAACAAATTGCAGGAAGCATTGATCAGAAACAAATTCCTGTTTTATAGAGAATATTGAAGATGAGTGAAGTAATTTAGGACTCCAGGAAACAGCAATATGGAATTAAATAGATACAGATACTTGGTGATTTATAAACCTTTTAACAGTCATGCATAAAAACGAGAGACCAGAGGTAGCTACTGAGGGACCATGGCAATTTTTTCTTTTCATAGCTCTGTTGTGTGGCAGCAACAGGTAGAAAGGGAATAAAATCTTCCATTATCTTGCCACTGTGTATCAGGGATCCAGGCACAGAAATGACAGGAAATGTATTAGGTGAGTAGTTTTATTGAAAAGTGTATATTAGCGCTTAAAATAATATCTTATTACAGATTCAACCAACTCTGGAGACAACATGTACACTTTAATGAATGCTGTACCTCCTGGACCCAACAGACCTAATGTAAATATGAATTTAGCTGTATGTTTCTTTGAATTATGCAGCCTTTTGTGTATCCAAATATTGCATTTCCATTAGGTAGCATTATTGGTAAGTTTTCCATTCTTATGGGTGGCCCTTCAGTTGTGGGCCTTTGGGAAAAAATCACCAGTGGAACTTAAGAATAATTATCTGTAAATACTGATAAATCATTATGCAGTAAATTGTAGATTGTTTTTGCCATAATGTTATTGTCTTTAATTTTGTGAAGAGGTAAATTTAATATATGAAATTGGACAGAAACTGCTCCAGTTGCAAAGGTAATGTGGAGCAGTCAGGGTTTGAAAGCTGGTAATAAATGACTTAAATTAATAATTTAAGGGAGTAATAAAGTTCCCTGTAACTTCAATGGGAGCAGGGCTGGGTCAGCACCAGCAGGTTGGAAAGTCATACATATAGTGTTTAAGTAAATAATAAATTATTCCTAAGTTATAGACCAGCCTACAGAGATGACAGTCTCCAAATATCATTAAAGTGACCAATAGCAATGATGGTTTTCTGTCTTCACATGGAAGACCTTCTCTTAAAGGTCTGAATGGAACTTGAGAGTCCTTCTCATTCAGAGCTGGGAGTGTGAATTTTTCCTTTACTGTTTTTATTTTTCCTCTTGAGGAATATTTTGTCTTTATTAGGTTGTCTAAAAAATATTTGTACAGTTTTTAATGTCTGTTGCTTTTGTAGTTTCCCCTGGGACCAGGGTCAGATGGGCCGATGAGTGGACTGGGCGGAATGGATTCACATCATATGAATGGATCATTAGGTAATGACAGTAACTATTGACAACATGGTGAATTGTCAACGGCAGTGCTATTTTCTGTGACTGGTTCTTGGAGTTCTGTGGATGAAAGTGTGTAAAAATCTCCTGAAAACTGGAAAAGCTGAAACAAACAGAGAAATTTAAAGACGAGGGAAAAAAAAGCTGTCACCTCCCTTAGCACTAGACTTTTTTGGAACAGTTAAAATTCAGCAGTACACACCTATTGCTAATAAAATTACATTTTTTTAAAAGAAAGAACGTCTGTGAAATTTTAGATTACTTTGCAGCCTCTATTTACCTATTTCAATACTAAAATGGATTCTTGGTTTAATTAATATTGATGCACATTGCATTCAGATCAATGAAAACCTGTGTAAATGGCAGCCACACCTTCTTTCTGTCACTTTCTAAGCCGGATTTCTTAGCTGAAATGAAAAATTAAATTGAAACAGTTGTGGAACGATTTTACATATACCTGCCATGCGCTTAATTATTTTCTTGGACCTCTCCAGTTTTTTTGACCAAAACCCTTCTGTTGGATATCTGTTCACAGCTCTTGATGATGAGAAAGAAATATTTTCCCTTTTTCCACCAAAAATTATCCTTTGGACTGTGAAAAAATAACTCTTGATAACATCTATGTATATGGTGTTTTTATAGAGAGGAGGAATCATATTCCTTCTCAGCTTTGATTTGCCTGACTGTATCAAATAGTGAGCTATTTCAGTCTTCTCCCACAGCTCCATTTTTTGGTTGTTTTCCTGGGATACTCTTCTAGTTTTGCATTCAGTACTCTTCCAGAATTTGTATTTCCTGAAAATAGGTGTCTTTTGCTGCTAAAATAAGCTTTTCTTGCTACATCCATCCTAAAGTTGCATTCCTTTATTCTTGGCTTTACCTGACAGCTACAGCATGTGAAAAAATTAATAGTCTCATACTGATTATATTTAATTTCATTTGGTTTCTGTTACTCTAGTTTTCAGGATCATCTGGTTTCTTCTAAGAGATACTGTTATCAGTATGTGTAATGCAGCAAAAGTTGATGTAACCTCAAATTAATTGATTGAATTGATTATACTGACTATAAACTTTTCCTAAGTTGGTTATGGTTTAAAATATTTTTGATACACTATATATTTTCTATGAAAAAAAGTATAGGATTAACTTCAGTTCAAAACTGATTAATTGTCTGTTTTAATTTAAGGCTCAGGAGACATGGACAGTATTTCCAAAGTGAGTATCTGATCAAATATTTAGAATTTTTAGAATGTTCCACTCTAAACTATTTTCCCTTGTCTCTGTTATGAAGCTCTTTGTTATGCACCTTTATTTTATTATATCTATATTATGTATAATTGTACCCAGTCCATAATCTGATTTATCATGTTGTAGTTTTCAATACTATTAAGATAAATGGAAACAGTTCTGATAATCAACTCCAGTTAACTGTAAATTTGGGACAGTGTCTTTAGGATATTGCAGGATTGCTTTTGCCACCTCTGTAAGGTAGCGTTAATATCCTAATCATTAGGTTAAATATCCTAATTGTTAGGTTTAGTTCCCAAAAGCTGGATTTAGAAGTAGGTTCAGGAGAAGCACTCTTTTGCTATCACGACCATTAGTTGGAAATGGATGTAAGTTTAACCTGCAGGGGTTTTGCATCTACAAAAATAATGCTGTGATTGTGTGTGTCACTTCTATAAAAATAAAACTGCTACATATATGATCATCATTAACTTGGGAATTAATGAACTTCTTTGGTAAACTGTCATAAATAACAAGGACCCTGTATTCTTATATTTTGTAACATCTTCAGGCTCTGCAGAAAGTTAAGTGATGGATGAAAATTACTACATTGCCCCAGTTGTGCTGTGCTGGGCCATGCAGTGATGAGTTCAGTAAAATCCGCCAGTGATATAATCACCATACAGCACCTTTTTAATTAATGTCTGTGGGTTTATTCAGTATTTTATTGCAAACTGCAGCATTTTTTAAGGAAAAAAAAAAGCCCAAGCATTTCATTTTCCATGGGATAATTTTTAAAGCCAGTATTCAACTCAGAGGCATTAAGTATGTGCTAATACAAGTGGCAGGAGCTCTGAAAATTTGGGTACAAAAATTTACCTGTAAGTCTCATAATGTGTTAACCTTAATGAACAACTCACAGGAATTACAGTTGCTTTATGTCTTCTTCAAATAACTGAAAGAAAAATGCTGCTAATTTCAGGTGTAGAGAGTTGCCCATAGAAAATGAATTCACTCAGTATCAGTACAGCTCACAGAATCCAGAGTTTTCTACAGAAGATTTTGATTTAACTGGCTGAATTGCAGAGCATAAAGTTTTTATGAAGTAGATTGGGGAGGATGGGAATAAATTAACTGAAATTATGCATATGAAATAAACATCAGTCACCAGTGTTTATTGCAATGCCCATGGAATTTGTGCAGGCATCAAGGACACACTTCGCTTGGAAAAACCCAGTTCGTGCTCCAGTGCTGGACCCCAACTGGCCATAAAAGCAGCCTGGAGTCACTATAAAAGGGATTTTGTCAGGAATTTGACCCTTTGGGGCTGGTGTGCTCTAGTAGTGGCAGAATTTCAAAGCTTAGTGCCACACAGAGCAAGATAAAATAGGGGCAAATCTCCCAGGAATGAGCAAAAGTGCAGGAGCATTAATAAAATAAATGTGACAAGGCTTTAGTGGGTTTTAAACTTTATATTCATGGATTGTAAGGCTAGAGGGACTGACATGGTTGTGTAGTATGACCTCCTACACCACACAGGCAACAGGGCTTCCCTGAATTAATTCCTGCCTAAGGTACAGTAACTGTGGTTGAGCTAAAGCAATAGATATCAACGGTTTTGATCTGTATGTCCTATATCCTTGATCATATTTCCTATATGCTGGCTTCACTGAATAGCAGACTTAATTGTCTGATGTTAATAAACTCATTAAGCTTTTAATTGTCATGTATGTAATTAATTTTGTATTTATATTGATATTGCATCCAAGTTTTTCTGGGTTAAAAAAAAAGCCAAGGGTAGAACTATGATATATGTAAGCACTTGATCATGAAGTTCATGACTTCACTCCTCCTTTTCTCTGACTTCCCTTCTTCCATCACGAGTCTTCTAAGCATCCCTGTCTTTAATAGGGATGGAAAGGGAATTGTCTGTGCCCCAGGCATGGTAGGGAACTGCAAATCAGCTTTGTAAAGGCACCTGACTAATTGTAGTGTGTGCAATATGTGAGCTGTTGACTCAGAATAATTTCTCTGACAATTACCTTGTTTCACCCATTCTCTTCCTGAACGTTGGAGAGGTAGTTGTGCACTTCTGTAAGGAAAAAAAAAATATTTTCAGGAAGTTTTAGGTTGTTACTATTTCAGTAAATTATGACCACGGTGAGCAAAGACTCCAGGGACAGGCCCTTGAAGAGGTCTGTGCAGACCAGATCCATCCTATGTCTTCCTCTAAGTACCTATTTCATAATTCACATATGGCAAGGCACACACTCACAGACATGGCTGCATTTAACCACATGATTTAATGTTGTGGCAGAACTTTCTCATACACCTACTGCAGCCTTTTATAGATTTTCCTGACTTCAGCAGAAGCGGATGCTGGCTATGACCTGAAAACAAGAGTTACAGGTAAACAATCCTTGCTTCAGGGAAGAAAACATTACTTTACAGGCTAAAATTAGTTAGTGAATCATGCAGAACCCTGCAGGGGCTGATTTTTCGTCCTTGAAAACACCATTGCACCACAGTGCTGAGTGAAACGTGTTTGGCGCACGTGGTGAGGCTGAGAATTGAACTGGAATCTTCAACACTTATTCTTATTTAACAGAACTCTCCCAGTAATATGAGCATGAGCAACCAGCCTGGCACTCCCAGAGATGACAGTGAGATGGGTGGAAACTTCCTAAACCCTTTCCAGAGTGAGAGCGTAAGTATTTCATTACATTGGTTGGTGGCTTGTTTTACTTTGTGAACCTTTATTTCTGACTTTTTGTTTTAAAAAAAGAAAAACTACAAGTTTTGTAGTGTGCTTGTAGTGCATGTCTTTTAATAGCTTCTAAATTTGAATAAAAAACAAAAGCTGGGAGGTGTAGGTTTGCTGCAGAAACGATTTTTCTGGGTTAAGAGGTCAGTTGTCAGTGAAAGAGCAGGGTTTACACTGAAGTATGTGATTAGAGCATCAGTAGATTCCGTGTTGCAAATATCCCATGTGCTATTAGAGCCATAAAAGGCAAAGGTTCCCTCTAGCGTTCATTCTGGGTCAAATTATGCTTTTTTTTTTTTTTTAAATGAATAATGCTTGAGGCAGCAAAATGTGTTGTAAAATACATTACAGAGCAAGACTGTGGTATTTCCATACTCATGTGCCTGAAGTTGGGTTTCTAAATCCATGTTTAGGTCCCTAAATAGGAGTGTAACTTCATTAACTACTAAGTGGTGACCTGCAGCTCAGGAATTACGGCAAGTAAACAGTTTTGTTAGATCTCAACACAGTTGAACTCCACGGCAAATTTCATGGGAATCAGATTTTGAGGGGTTTTTTCGGGTTTTCTTCTTTCACTAGTGAAAAGGAAGAGTTTCTGCATGTTAGCTGTTGGTGGGCACACACTCAGGTTGTGTGGAGTGTTAGAGAAAATTGTCTTGTACAACCCAAGAAGACCGATGTTTCAGTGTCTGCCAAAACCACAGAGCCTCCATTAAACGTGATCCCCATTCATGGCAGCCCCTGACTCTCAGTTTGGCTGAGGGCACGCAGGCCGGGTCACCAAAACATGGGTCATGGGAAGAAGAGGACATCAGTTGTATTCCAGAGAAAATCAGTGTTTTCAGACACTTACTGGATTCTAGGTGCTCCTGGATGCTGTTTTCCTGCCTGGAGGAACCAGAGACCCAGTTTTCTCAGGGTTTTATTGAGTTGTGTGCCTACAAGGCTTCTGTTACACATCCCAGGTACATTCTAGTCTGCTCCAGGTACCGGTTCCTCTCCAACACGGGTCACACTGTTGTCCTTGGGAACTGCCTTCTTTCTGATTCATATTTTGCCACCTGGCTACTCAGAAAAGGCATTATTATAAAGTCCTTTCTCAGGCAGATCGTCTGTTCAGTTCACTAGGAGTTTTGGTTGGGGTGGGGAAAGGTGCTTGGCTAATAACAAGTTAAAAATCGTAAACACCTAGAGACTGTCAACTGATTCCTTGTCCAAAGTGTTTCCCCACTTGAGAAGGTGCTTTGCTTTAAGCCTTCTGAGCTGGAGTCCATTCTGTGTAGCTCAGATGACAGGGAAGACCCATTCAAAACGCTTTTTCTATAAGCTTGGACACTTGGAAATGGTCAGCTTGGAGCTCAAGCCTTGGCAGGATATTTATGGCATACCTGATTTTACAAAGGCAAATTTATCTTTCTGTTTTTCTGTTAGTTTTCAAAATGCTGATACTTCTTGAACACCTACCTCTACTTAGAGGATTTTAGGCCAAATTAAGTGCTTTTGCAGTCCATAGCTTGCAATTTAAAAACAAATTAGGTGTGTAGATGTGTAGTTTTTCTAGGCATTGTGGTGTCCTGTTGATTATTTTAATGAAGTACTGCTAACCTGAGGGTAGCTGTAGCTTGTGTGAGGGCTGCAGTTTAAGTTGTGTCACTGTAATAGTGTGATTGCGTGGCAATTGAATTTTTGGTTCACACCAAGGAGAGTGGCCACTGGTCCCTGAGTCACCATGGAATGACCACTAGTCTCTGATGCAGCTTGCCTCCTGAAACTGGTAACACAAAATAATACAGACTAAAAGCCTAATTTAATCATAGTCATACATATCTTTACTCCTTTCTTTCCACAAGGTAATAAAAAGCTCCCCAAAATATTTCTGTGGTTCAGCTAACCATGAATGCAGCCGGTCTGCCCAGCTAAATTCCCCCAGTAGCCAACACAGGCCAGGAAGGGGCGTGGAAAGCAGCAGTGATGTTTTGGTTCATCACATCACCCAGTTAACACCAAAACAGCCTCCAAGGGAGTTGCCTTTATCAGCAACAGCTGTATTTGTACATGAGAGAAGCACAACGGTAGTTACGATGCCACAAATTGAACTACAGCCTTAGCAAAGGCTGCAGCCACAAATTGAGGAGGAAGCTCAAGGAGCGTGTTGACCTCTGAATCCATTGTTGTGGTGCAGACATGGTTTTGGTTCCCTGGGGTGGGGGAGAAGAGATTGTTAAAATGTGGATTGCTCTCTTTGCAGTACTCCCCTAGCATGACAATGAGTGTGTGACCCGCTCAACAGTGTCACCACGAAGACCACAGTGAGTTGGCCCTCTCCAGAGAGCTACTGCAGAAGAAAATTGCTCGTCCCAGTGTACAGTTTAACTAAAGGATCTCAGACACAATCAGACCCACCTGGTTTGTTTTTCTTTTCCTACCATCTCCCCCATTTTGTCAAGGAAGTGGGTCCCATGCTTGAGACAACTGTAAAGAGTGCTGTGACAGACCTGTCCGAGGTGGAACCGCAAGACTGTCTATGTGTGACATGTGTGGGTCAATGTCGTGTGTGTGTGTGTGACACAGAAACACACACGCACATCCAGACACCCACAGGACATTGTAAAATAGTATCACATCACATCTTAAGTAGAAATGAGAAGTAGGGACTTCTATTCCATTTTTTTTTTCACGTTTACATTTTAATTATTAAAATTTGCTTTCCTTGTCCCCTCTTGAACTGTTCTACATTGCATATATCACTGCTTTATAAGTTATTTTTTAAGTTGAACTCAAATGATAAATTCTTTTGATTTTGTTAATGTCTGCCATTATGGATAGGAATAAAATTGCTTATAAGAGCTTTCATTAACTTGTGTTTGATACCAGCTACCCTGTGAATCACAAATTGTACTGTCTCAAGAAATAGAAGAAAGCTCATCTTAATTTTTTTGAGAAATTTGATAACTTTCACATAGTTTGGGGATTTTTTTTTTTTAATACTTTGCCTTTAAAAAGAAAAGAAGCACTGAAGGTTATTTTTCTTCTTTAATTGAAGCCTAATATCTGCAATATCTATTTTAAATGGAAGCCTGAATTTGATACAAGCTTCTCAGTTTATATAGAGTACTATAAGGTTACTGTAAGTGAGCTCCAATTGCTTTAGAATCTAGCAATAAAGAACAGGGCTTCCCCCTGCCCTTGGAAATGAGTTTTCTATTTAGCATGGTCTTCTGTAGGGGTGGTAGTTAGTGGAAATACAGTAGAGTCCTTATCACCAAAACCCTTTCTAACAACTTACAATTATGTTTCCCGTTTTCAGTGATTCTCAAATGCATAGTAACAGTTCATGGTCCTAATTATAAACAGTGTTTCACAAGCCCATTCTGTGAATCAGGTCACCATGCTGCTGCTTGGGTGTGTGTTTTCTACCACGTCTGCCAGAATTAATTCCCCCAAAACTTTCCAGTCAGCAGCCTTTTTTGAGCCAAAATGTTGCAGTACAAAAGGTCTTACCTTTTGCCATGAACAGAAGAGGAACAAAGCTCTGGGCCATTTTAAGAGTGGAACAACCTGTTAGGTGTGAAAGCTGGGAACAGAAGGGAGAAAAGGTCCTAAAAGAAATGCTTCTGGAAGCCGTCCCATATCTCCTGAGGCAGAGCTCTGAAACCAAGATTATGGTACATTTATTTATTTAGTGATCAACAGGCTGATGATCAGCAATGTGGGCACAAAGTGGCTCAGCAGAAATTCAGGCCACAGACAAAAAGCAGATTTCCCTCCCTGGACTTACAGATAGAAGAGCCACTTAGAGAGGAAGAGCAGTTCTGGGGTGTGGTATGTCCATGTGCAAGGGGATTTTTTTCATTAATTGTGATAAAGGAGCATATGGGATGGGCTTGTTGTGATGGCAGCTGCACGTACTGGGATGTGTAAGGAATACTACAATCTCCTAACTCATTTTTATTTCCATGTATTATATGTGTATATCATATATGGAAATAAAAAAGATTTAACACTTCACTCTCTTGTTAGGGCTATTCATGCTCAGAGGCTTAAAATTATGTTAAAGTATCAGATTTTGGTAGCATTACCTTTTAGTAATAAGAACTACTTTGATTAGTTGTAAACATCAACTATATAGTCATTATATGGTTTTGTAGACTGTATTCCCAGTGATTATGAAGGTCACATTCATCTGTTTCTGTTTGGATAACACTTTGTTGCTGTCTCCAAAGATGGAGACACTATTGACTTGAGTTTCAAACACAAAATCAGGTGTTAATTTCCTCAGACCCTTTGCTGTTGTCACTCACACCATTGGTGTGTTCCCAGAGTCCAGGTGTCCTTGCAGCCTGTGTTGACACCTGTATTATCTATGGTAGCCTTCCAGGAAGGACCTGGGGACTCTTTTCTGCCCAGTTCCAGTCAGGTGATGTCACTGGCTCCTGGACTGAGGTAGATGGGGGCTGTGAATCAAGTGTCAAAGCCTGTTCGCACCCCAGGTAAGTGTCCTGTTGGGCACTTTTGCAGGATAGAAGTCTGGCCACCAAAGCTGTCAAGGAAGCCCCTTAAATGGAATCGCCAACATATATTGGATATTGCTATCAAAATATGTTATCCTCATTTTAATATATGAGTAAAACATTCTTTCAGGCACCTGATTTACTTGGTGTGTCCAACGTTTCTCATACCCACATAGCCCCACCGACAGCAGCTGATTTTTTTTTTTGTAATATGCACTGGGCTTTTTGCTTGTTCATTTTTCTTTCTTTTGCTTACAAATCCTTGTAAGATTTTCATCATACCTTGAGTATCAGTGTGGAAAGAAAGACTATTCCCAAGCACTGAGTTTTTGTTTCTTACACTCCAGATATCAGGAGCAATGTAACTGCTGTTCGTTCTTATGCAACAGCATTATTGATAATGTCAGAACTTGTCCAACTCTGGGAGCAATTTTATTTTAAGTAGTGCAGGATAGGTTTTTTTCCTCTGGGCTTTTAGATAGATTTTGCTCTTTAATATAGAAATAGATAATGGTGAATCTTTAAATGGGTCTTTCAGACAAGGTTAAATTAAGTCTTTTAACAGAAGTGATTAAATCTTAGAGTAGCAAAAATAGGGAGTAGGACATCTTTCATACTGTGAGAACTCTGGCAAGTATTCTGGCCTTGTAGAAATCAGCTGAAATTGGAATTCACTTCTGAACTTCACAGGGAAACCAGTATTTAACGTGCTGCATAAAGCTATGAAAATGAGTATTCTTACCCAGATTTATCTGCACATCACCCAGATTTTATCACCGTGTCCAAGGCCTGGCAAGAACAGGGCTTGGGGCAAGGAAGAAGCTGTCTGAATCACAGGTAAAGCACATGGCCTGACATGTGGATCAACAAAATACCCAGGTATTTGCATGTATGCATTGAGTTATTGATCGCCTGAGCAAGAGGAAGACCTGCAGTTGCACTCCAAAAAAAGTGCCATTTTTTATTTCGTTGAAGAGCCCTAGTAAGTTCAGTGTTGAACTTTTTATTCCTTTTTTTCCCCCCTTACCAGTCAAAATGACTTTTCAGCTGATACATGTTACACCTAATTTCTATTTCTCGTATCAGTTAATTATTTTTGAGTGTTTCCTCCTGTTCCTGGTCAGCCCTGATTTGTTGTTATGATGGCTAAATATGGATTGGATTCTTCAATATTTGACCCTACACATTCGCATTTCGATAATGTAAAATATAGCTTAATGATGTAAAAAGTACAGGTAAATTTACTTTTCTTTAATTCACTGTAAGTGATGATATAACTGTGGCTCCTGTCCCGCTTGGACCTTAAGGATGGGAATCCTGACAAAGTACAGTTCTCAAATAAACCCCCCAAAATTATTTCAATAGTGACATCTCACACTAAGGATCTAATTCAGGATTTAATGATCCAAAACAACTATAAAAATTAAAAGACAGATGACTTAGATTTAGATTTTACTCTATGCAGCTCTCTCTGCTTTCTAGTTATTACTGGCACAGTCCTACAGGCTGCTGCTTGTGCCAGTTCTCCTGCTGAAACTTGGATGAAACCACTCACATAAGGTCATTTTTTGGGTAGGACTTCACCCTGATCTGGGTCAAATGTGTAACTTACCTAAGGTGTGACATTATTTGGCAGATGTGTAAACTGAGTACTTAGAACAAAATACAGAGGGTCCATTGAAATTACCGAAATGATGTTTCAACCTGAAAAAGTATTTAAAATACCGCTTTGAGCACATGCTTGCATATTGTCTATATATTGGGAACAAATTACCAAATTTAGAGATAAAAATGGATCATCTTATTCAGCACATTAAAACTCTGGTCCTTTCATTGAGTTGGCCTTGGTTTGAAATTAAGCCTGCACATTGTTGATTTTAAACAGATTTAAGAATACAGGAAATTTCCTACAGGAAATTAGGAAAGTAGGACTGTGCTTTTGAGCATGGATGGTCTTTCCTAAGCAGACATTATTTTAAAGTTATCACCAGTGCAGGAGCATTTATGTATCAATAGTACTGACATGCGGAGCAGATTTGGCTTTCTTCTGTTTCTTACTTTGTTAGAGCTTTGTTCACTACTACATTAACTATTTTTGTGAATTTGTCCTTCCACCTTGTTTTAAATCGTGCAGCCATAGTTACCCCAACACAGCCAACAGCTTTGCAGTTTTAGTCCAAACTTCTGTTTGGTCACTGTTCTTCATTTAAGCTTGAAGTGTGTAAGAAAGCCTCTCATGTAATGGGAAAACTTGCCATAAAAATGTATAAAGGTTTTCTTGGGTACATGTTTTCACATTTAATAAAAACGCAGTTTTTGGTTATAATTTGAAGTGGTCAGTTTCTAGCCACTATTTAATTTTTGTGTGCAGAAGAAATTGAGAGAGAAAAAAAATCACACTTTGAGTTTTTGTTTTGCTTTGGTTTGATTTTTTTTTCGTATTTGTTTGAATTCAGCGTCATAAATGTTTGCTGAAAGATGTGTTTTTTGGGAGAAATCAGATCAAAACCACATTTGCTGCCTAGTTGTAAGTAGTACAGGTGGACTTGGTGTTGAAAGCTCCTGCCACATCCCCAAAAGCATATCTCTTGATTTCTGATTTGTGTGGCTTTGTATGAGCCTGATTCACAAGCAGTGATTTAATTTGTCTGTCCAGTGCTTTCAGTGTGTCTCATGGGAGGTCCAGGGTTCTGTGGTCTCAGGAGACTGACCGAGTGGTCGAGCAAGCTTGTTCCCAGGGTCAGGGGGTTCAGGACCCGGGGATAATCCACCAGAAACAAGGTGTTTGTTCGCTACCTCGCTGTTCTCTTGAGAACTTGCACAACTCTTCTTGCCAGTAGGTTCTGGGGATCCTTTAAGATTTTACATTGCTGAGACAAGAAGCTTCCTTTTGCTAAGAGAAAATCCTGGCAGTTTTTAGCAACAGTTTTCGTACGGAAACAGCTCAAAACATGGGGATTTGGAAAGGTGATGTGTTTTCTCAGTAGCCTGAGTGTGGCAGGAAATAGATTGTACAATTTAGGAGTTTGGGCTGTTACAGAGATACTGAAATCATCAGTAATTGCTTTTGATGGGAAAAATCACTGGCTTTGGAACAACTGCTCTGATCCTTGAGGAGTCAAACTGTCAGCTGGGTGAACTGGATGCTTTAGGCTTTTTTTCCTACTGTTTAATCTTCATGTTTATCCTCTCTCATTTGGATTTTCCCGTTAAATGTACTGTGCCAGATCTTTGCACAAAAATAAGAGCATTTTGCCCAATAAACCTGCAGAAAGTTGTTCACATCTGTAACTACAGCCCTGCTGTAGAGAGTTTATTTCATTATAGAGACTTTTGACCATAAGAACAGATAAGGAGTGGCAGTGCAGCATCCTGACAGCTCTCACTGCTCCAGATCAGGAATGCTAGCATCCCACAGACTCCCAAATTAGGTGAGATGGCTCCTAACAATGACATAAAATAGCTTGAAATAAAAGCTGATTCTTGTCATGCAGATTAGAGGAAATAAAATCCCAAATACAGGATGTATTTAATTAAGGTAGAAATACACTAAAGCCATCTCTAACAGGAGCACACAGCACATCCAACAACTTGGAAAGCAAAGCAGCATTGCTAAATTGTTGTCAATAAACATAACATTCAAAAGCAGTTATAAGCTATTTTTAATTTCCATTTTTCAAGTCTATTTTAATTTTTCTGATTAACTTGTGGTTTTGATTTGATTTGAATTTACATTAATGGATAAGGAAGAGAACACAAGTTCCTAAACTAGAGCTGGAATTACAGACATGAAATAGTGGCTTGAGTAAAGCTGGAGCTTTCTGTTAGTTAAGAATCAAGTAAAATTTTTAATTATTCTTTTTTCAGGACAAAAAGCATCCAAACAATAAACATTCTTAGCCTTGTTGTGGCTATTTGAGAAGTGTGAATCAATGCTATGCTTGGAGACCAGTTTTCAGGGCTTTTTTTTTGTGGCAGGTATCCCCGTGCAGTGCATCTATTTTGTACATGTTTGTCTAAAGCTACCAAAAAAACCCACCTTTTTTTTTCCTGAACTTCTGTACATACATCTGGTTCTGGTGGGAAGAGGAGGAAGATTTGGTAGCTGGTGGGTTAGCATATTTATGTGAATTACTTAAAGCATTAGTAAACTATTGTCAACTCTGTTCACATTGCACAAGATACTCTGTGTAGTCTACTGCTGGTATTATAACCTAGGTGATCAGTGCATATTCTGTAAATTCCTGTAGGTTTTGTGTAAGAAATCTTGTCACCACTGCTTACTGCTGTAAATTCTTGTTTTGAAGCAAGAGGTGGCATTTGATTGTACAGCCATGTGTATCATATACTACAACAGTCCTTGTTCTGTCCTCTAGACTCACTGTCCACATAGAGTTGAAGCTCTGTTAAGCATGCGTAATGGTTTCAGAATTTATTTCAGACAGCAGATCTATAAGCCATTTACAGGAATATTAAATGTAATGTAAGAGAATCCAACCCAGTTCGTACCCTTTCTTGAGAGCTGGCGGTTGGATTTTAGCAGGCAGCTGCAGGTCAGCAGGTTCTATGGCGTCCCAGCTGTGGCTACCTGCACACCTGGGAGGTGTCACACCTGGGCAGGTGTCCCCTGGCAAAGGGGTGCCCCAGGTACAGCGCCTGGGCAGGCTGCTGCCTTACAAAGACGTGTGAGCTAGTGTCTTTGTTTCTTCCCAAAAACTGCATCAGTGCCAAGACTGAAACCCATCTTTAAGGGCATGCAGGAGGTGCGATGCTGCCTCCCTATTGTGTCCTCCTCCCCACCCACCACAGGCTCCACCTGAGGTGGTATTTTAAGGAGATTTTAACTCTCTGTCTGTTGAGAGAGAAAAATAACCTGAATTCTTGGACTATGGATTCTTTTATATAGTATTTTATGATGTACAGCAAAGACCTGAAAATGTCTGTGTGTTCTTTGCTGGTTTCTGACATCAGAAATTCAAGTCCTGTCTAGTCTGAAAGGCAATGATGGGAAAGGTGGAAAAGCTTGGAAAGTTGAAGGGGATTCTTACTTGGATTATTTTAAATGTTTTTATTGATAGCTTAAATGACTAGGTTAATCTCTTGAATCAAGGCAGTCTTAATGACTTTGCACCTTCACCATTTCATGTAAGAGTTTGAGAACTTGCAATAAATGTTTCTCACACTTACAGTCCAATATGTAGATAAACTCCTTATATTTCTAAGATCAAAAAATATTTCTACAGTTACTTCAGCCCTTTACAGAGAACAACAGGGCAATCCCAATCCCATAATCCCAAGTATTTGTAGGTGTATTTTAGACAAAGAATGACTTTCAACATCATAAATGAAACAAATGTTCAATGTTCCAGTCTCTGGAAGTAATGGAAACCTCAGTAATTTTGCAAACCAGCAAGAATTAAACTTGTCAATATAAATATTAATGTAGAAAGTGCATGCAAAACTCGATACTGCCTCTGACCTTAAGCATTAATATTGATAATATTGGGGATCTCACAAATGTTGTGTGTTACAGAACCGCTGTATTTCTCCTCAGTGTGTACTTCATCTTCATTACCGACAGCTACTGCAAAGAGCCAATCCATGCCGTAGCTGAGGCGTGGAGATACAAACTTCCCACAGCATCATAAATACGTGAACATGTGTGTGTGTTGTGTTAGGATGAGTAACCACTCCAGCTACAAACTCCTCCAGACCTTGTCTGTATTTTCAGAGCAGCCTGTGGGATGGGTTTGGGAGGTCAGCAGCCTGTGTGGATGCTGCCTGATAGCGATCCCATCCCGCATGGCCTCGGATCTGGCTTTGGGGGATCATCATGAAGTCAAGCCTCACTGGTTTTTATCTGTGAAAAGTTCCTTGCCAGACTGGGAACTGTAAAGACACGGATAGTGCGGGTCACTGACCCAGAGCATTGGAGCCTCAGGCAGGACTGTGATAGACAGTTTGTCATGGTGATACTGTGCCACCACATCAGACTTGTTTCCGCTCCACACTGTGGCCTGATTCATCCTGCCATAATCTCAGCTGGCTAAAAATTACCATCCTGGGTCTCCTGTGTAAGTCAGAGGAGGGACAGGAGAGGAGATGCCTCTGGAAGATTGTATGATGGCATCAGCTGCCCTGCCACTGATGAACAGCTGGAATTAGGTGGGATGAATCCATGAGTTTACAATTGGCTTAGATACCTCTGCACAAAAGTGTATTTATTTGAGCTTGGTAAGGACAAGAATAATGCAAGTTCTTTGAGCCTGAATCTGAGTGGCTTACAGATGAGTTTCTGAATTCAATCTCAAACATTAGATTTCTGCCCCATAGTTGCTCTTTCATTTTTACTTCAGGTTTTATGAACAGGTGTAACTTTAACTAACTTGTTGGAAGGTTTACACCTGCCTAGAAATGCTCACCTTTATTTGTTAAGTGGGCTCCCTCGTTGCCTGCACCGATTCATTTATTGTAAGCAACACATGAAGAAACCATTGCATAGATCAATCAACACCAGCAATAGCGTATGCAGCTTTTAAATTCAGCTGTGAGCTTGGAACTAAGGTATTAATGTTCATACTTTCTGGGTATGGCTAAAGATTCCTTTCCTGAGAGCATTAAGGAATAAATCTAGGAGGTTGTGATTGAGGATTGAGAGAGTACATGTAGCAATGGCAGTTTATGTTGCTTTGTTTTCTTTCTGTAAACGTGTGATAAATGTATTGCGATTTCATGTGCTGGTTTGGAGATGAGGGAATAGCCGGTGCCAAACAGAGCAGATCTCTGCAGGCAGCTTTACGGTGGGTTGGCAAAGCCTGTTTACAGCAGGTTCCACCTCAGGCCTGCACCGCACCCATCTCATTCTAGTTCACTTTGATACCTTCCTTCACTCGCTGCTGGTACAAAATCATGACAGCAGTTGTATGAGTTCTTGTTGTGAGCTGAGGAACAGGTGAAGTTTAAAAACACAAATGTTGTAGTTTGCACCTTTCACCTTCGTGGACTGTCCATGTTCTCACAGCTGAGCTGGGACAGCAGCTGCCTCCACAGTTGCCATGTAGCTCCATCCCACAAAATTGGGTGTCATTTTTTATGAGTTTAACAGGAGCAATATTGATCCATTCACTTTATTTCCTAAGTTGTGAATCACTCAGTGCTGGAAATGATACACATCTTGTGTCGCTATGAATAGAAAAACTGAGAGTTGTGTTTTAGGATGTGCTGGTACAATCCCTGCCTGCTGTTCAGTGTTTCGAGTGCTGAAGTTAACCAAAATGTTACCTTCGTGGATTATCTCAGCCTCAGCTCTGTGTAAAAGTGGGTATGAATTTCCAGTTGCTATTCCTGGTTTCTCTGTGCATTCTGAGCCAAAGGTAAAACAGTGGGAAAGATGGTTGTGGCAGCCACTCATTGACAGCTTTTCAGATACGTAAGGCCGTTCTGTCTGTCATCTGACACTGTTCCAGTTTTTTCACTGGATCATCATGCTGTTGAATATCTCGATGGGTGTTGTCAGCCAGTGGAGGGAAGGTGAAGGAGCTCACCACCCAGGAAGGGTAAAAATGTAGCAAGTAACAAGCTGTCTTCTCCAGAAGTCATTTATTTGTAGTGCTTCACTGTCAGTAACATTTGTACCTTCAATTATTATTGTACCGTTCAGTATCTTGAGGTGGTATGAGCAGAAATATATGAATATATATAATTTACAAGACGTATAGGCTTGTACTGTGCCTTTGTAATTCTCTTCAGCTTCAGTATCTATATGCTACAAGCAGACAAACTTCCCTCTTTTAGGGTGTTCTTTACTAGAACAGTAGCTGATGGCTTCATTAATACTGACTATTTTAGTCTTCTGGGGCTAACATTTATGTTTTTCTGGGTGAAAACGCCATAGTGCCCTCAGCAGACGTAAGCACAATGACATAACACTGCAGTGCATGCTGTCTCTTAGCTTCTCTCTACATGTGCTTGCATGTTGGAAATTCAGAAGTGCTGCTGTATAAAATTGCTACATTATTTACCCAATACAGGTGTTCTTCTGCATCCCTTTTTAGCTCAAAACTCCTGTTGTCTTGGAAGTTAGTGATGGCTCAAAAGGGGGTTTTGGCTGCACAAAGGATGCAGGGAGCAACTCCTAAGTAGTTTACAGGCTGCTGTAAATGTCTTTTCGGCAAAGAAATGTAGCATTTTAGCTGTAAATTCCTAGTGAAAACACTGAGCGTGCTTATCACTTAAGATTTTAATGGAAAAAAAAAGGTGTCAGACTGTGTAATTTTATCTCATCTAACTTTGACACTTAACCAGTTTTACCTGCGTGTTTATGCTACACCAACCAACACAGACCTGAAAGGTGACAGCCTTGTCTTAGTACTGCAGCTACTCAAGAAGTCACGGTTTTCCAGAGCTTCTGTTTGGATTTTTTGTTCCTTTAACACATTTTCATTGCAGAGGTATTTTTCTATAGAGTTACTTGAGGCTTTCTTTAACCAACGCAAGAGCCTGTAGCCCTCTGCACTGTGAAAGGCAAAGCCCTGTGGGGACACTCAGGCTTCGTGCTTGCCCAGCAAATTAGCAGAAATTTCACCCAAGCCATAAAAGCCTCTTATGTTAATCTCTATTTATGTAATTAAAGCAATTAGGGGTAGGAGCTTCAGGAATAATGAGGTGTCTCTATCATTCATTTACTCTCTCTCTGTACTTCCTAGGGATTTAAGGGTTCTTTTTCCAAGGCTCAGCTGTGTTTCCTCAAACCAGTGCAGTCCAGGCATTGTGTGAGGTGCAGTTTGTGGAGATAGCATTGGAGCGTGAAAGATTTACTTCTGGTAGCAAGGAATAATCTGTGTCCCTGTGGACAGGGACACTTGCAAACAAGTCTGATACCGAGAATTAAAAAAAAAAAAATAAAAAAATTGAAGATGGTACCAGTACATCAGACTCTGTTCTACAGTGGGGTTTTTAGCTTTTGTCATTTGTATTTTATTTTGTGAAAAAGGAGTTGGGGGGATCTCAGATCACATGGGGAATATTAGAAGTATATCACTCAACAATCATTTTATAAAGTCTAACTTCAAAATGCACTATGATTTATTACAAAAGTATATTTTCTTCTGCTTGCCGACATGGTGGTTCCATTTTGTGATAAGTTAAACTCAGCAGTTAATTTGTTGCACTGCCTGGCTGCATGACTTCATCCAGTGTACATACGTACCTGTGCAGCATTACTTTTGGGGTTTGTATTTGAATTTGCAGTATTGATTATTATTTTTGTATTTTACTTTGCCTCTGTTATTGGAATTGTAGTAAACATAATTTATACATATGATTTTACAACTGTTTTGCAACTGAAAAGTCTCCTTTAAATTGTAAAGTTTTATTGATGGATACTCATTAAAATGGTATAAGAATTATATTAACAATTGTTTTGTGTTTTGATGCTCTCTGTACATAAATATATGTCTATTTATCTGTTTAATGGTGCTTGTGTCTTGCAATTTTGGATACATTTTAGAATAAAGTTTCATTTTACAAGAAGTAGTTGTATTTTCACGAACTGTGTCAAAAAAAAACAACTCACCTTTTTTCTATTAATAACTAGGGTTATGAAAGAAGCATACATAAAACATTTGTAACTTCAGGCAGTTACATATTTGTTTCAAGAATATAGAAATATGCAGTCTACAGAGATGCACAGCTGTATGTTGCAGTTGATTGACTGCAGTAACTGACATCTGTATTTAAAATGTTAACAAAAGGATGCATTTTGGAGCACTTCTGACTAGGTCTCATGGCTTTGCAGAAGATTTGTTCACATCTCATACTGAGCTAATCTTTTATTAACAGGAAAAGGTGCACAAAGATGCTTCCTAGAGGTTGCCTTAGAGCCAGCTACCTTCACCTGTTGGTATTGCCACAGGTGCTGTTGTAATTGTGACACAAAAGGTACTTTTTCGACTGGGAAACCATTGAAAAACACAAATCCGCTCTGTGAACTGGGGTCAGTAACTTAATTTCTGTTAATTTTTCAGCTGTGAAAGGAGAACAATATTGACTTTGCAGGTTATCTTCTGAGCACAAGTGCACCAAAAGCTGTAAAATACTCCATTACTCCAGTGGAGACTGTGTAAAAAGCTTCAGAGGTTCCTTTGCAGTCAGTTACATTCCTTTACCTTCTTGCTCCTTTAGCTGGAGTGCAAAAGAAATGCAGCTTAGGAAAGCAGAGGCTGATTTGGGAAAGTTTTTCAAATATCAGCTTTCCCTTGCTCTAACAGAAACAAGTTACCTTTTGTGTTTCTCTAAAACTCCTCACCCCAAGCATCTGCTCCTCCACACACTCCAGAAGGTTATAAATGTGAGCAGATTTAGATTTTACTTTACCTATATGTGATTCTAGAGGCTCTGCAGCTCCTCATCTCACAGCAGAGAACAGATCTATAGTGGGTCAAACACCTGATCACCGGGTCAGTGTGAAATGGAGGTGAAAGCCACCTGTGGAAGAACAAAAAATGAGCATTATCTTAGAGAACACCTGAGCGTGACAAGGTAAACCTGGAAACAAATTTAAAACTTACTGGCCCAGATAGGCGAAACACAATTTAATGGGTTTTTAAAATAGGAAAAGGTTTAGTTCTGTTTACAGACTCTTCCATCTGGCACCCATGATCCATGGTGTGAGAAGCTGATAACTTGAGTTTTTGTCATCTGGACTGAGCAGATGAGGAAGGAGAAAACACTGGCTGCAAACCTTTCACAAACCCTGTTCAGGTAGTGAGAACGAGGTGTGCCACTGCCACTGTCAACAAAGTCTGTTTCTTCCCTTCACAGAAGCCAAAGGAAAGAGATACCCGTACAAACTTTTCTTTTTCTGAAGCAACATAATAAAAAAAAAAGGTAGAGAATAGCACAGCATGCTGATTTTCACAGCCAGGATCCTCTGGAATGCAACTAGTGTGATGGTACAGCCATCCTGTTGCTTGCTAAAAGAGTATGTGACACACACTCTTGCAATAGCTGTGCAGTGATAGTAACAGACAGTGTGGGAAGAAAATCCCTACTGCACTGAGAAACTCTGTCTTGACTGGTTAAAACTCAGATTTTCCTGGCTGTTAAGGTTAAAGCTGACATTGTTAAAGCTGGATCTTTAACAATGTTTAAATGAACAAGTGTTCATGATATAAACTCATTTATATATGTTTTTAAGAAACATGGGAAGCCTTTCATTGGAATAGCAACTACCAAGAGAAAAGGCTGTAGAGAAAGCAAAGCATTGCTGCTGTATTAAAACCGTGCAGGAGCACAGAGTCAAATATAAGCCCTGCAGTATTTCCTGAAAACCATTTACAGTTTACACCTTCTGCTACATTAAAGTAACACATCAGCTCCAGGGACAACTGGTGACAAGCCCAGAGCATCCCCAAAGCGGTTGAGCCCTCAGTAGCAATAGCACTGTATCCATGCCAGTAGTAAAACGTTGACCCTCCTGACTGGTCCAAAAGCGATGGCTCTGCTCTTACTCAGGTGGTATTTTAACAATGTGCAGCTGTGTGTGGAGGAGGAGGTAGGAGAAGGAGCTCTCTGCGAGCTCTCCAGTTACTAACTCCTGCAGGAATAGGTGACTGGGGCCATGGCATTAAAAATTCTATACCAGCACTGCCAGTGGCTCACCTGCGTGAGAGGGGAACATGTCTTCCCTGGACACACCTGCTGGGCTGTCAAGTTGGTGACAACGTGAGACAGTAAGACTTCAAGAAAAGGAAATAAAAATGAAAACATGAAGCTGATTATTACAGAGATTTTGGTAGCAGTGCACACACCAAACCCACCACGGGCTTGTGCCAGGCCATGAGGTGACCCCAGGGGTCCTGGAGCAGGAGTGGCTGGACACCTACTCCATGGTGCCCTGAACACACTTAGCACCCCTTTCAATGGAGTTGTTCAGCTTGGAGAGGCAAAGGCTGCAGGGAGACCTTAGAGCACCTTCCAGTGCCTCAAGGCACTGGCACAAGAGAGCTGGAGAGGGACTTTATACCAGGGCATGCAGTGATAGGACAGGGGGGAATGGCTTCAAACTGAGAGTACGTTTAGATTAGATAGATAGATAGATAGATAGATAGATAGATAGATAGATAGATAGATAGATAGATAGATAGATTAGACAGATTCAGGAAGAATTTCCTCCCTGTGAGGGGGATGAGGGGCTGGAATGGATTTCCCAGAGAAGCTGTGGCTGCCCCATCCCTGGAAGTATCCAAGGCCAGGTTGGACATGGCTTGGAGCAACCTGGGATAATGGAAGGTGTCCCTCCCTGCCCGTGGCAAGGGGTGGAACGAGATGAGCTTTGAGGTCTCTTCCAACCTAAACCATTCCACGATTCCCCTCAGCCCCATCCTCCCACTCCCTCGCCCCTGGGAAGCCCGGTCTGCTCATCTCCCGGCACCCCTTTTCCCTCATTCCCATCACGCCGTTCCTCTAATTCCGGGGACCTCCTCCGCCTCATCCCCGGGCAACTCTTGCCTCATCCACAGGCATCCCCTTCCCTCATCCCGTCCACCCCTCTCCCCTCACCACGTCCCCCTTTTCCCCTCACCCCGTCCCCCCCCCTTCCCTTCATCCCGTCCCCGTCTCCCCTCACCCCTCTCCTCTCAGCTCCGTCTCCCTTTCCCCTCACCCCGTCCCCCCTCTCCCTCAGCCAGCGTTGCCCTCACGCAGGCGGAGGAGATCCTGGCCGATCCCGCGGCGCCGGGGCGGGCCTGTCCCACCCATCCCGGCGGGCGGCGGTGATCCCGGAGCGTGGAGCCTGCGGTTGCCGGGGCAGCTGCGGGATGAGACATTCCCCCATGGATGTGTGCATGTGCCAGGGGGTCCTGCCGGCCCACGCCGACCCCCGCGGGGAGCTGAGCGCCGGGCAGCTGCTCCGCTGGATGGACGCCGCCGCCTGCCTCGCAGGTACTGGGAACACCCCGCCCGGAACACAGGGAACCTCGTCCCTCTGTTCACCCAGGAGGCGGCGAGATCACCCCCCGCCTTGGGGGCCGAGGGAGGCTTGAGGGAAGGTTTCAGATGGTGGAAGGGGAAAGTGTTCCAGCATTCCCAGTCACGAGGGGGTGTGGAAGGGACCGCACAGAGTCACGTGGTCTTGCCTCGGTGCCGTCCCAGAGCACGTGGCGGACCACTGTGTCCAGGCACGGCTTTGTGTCCGAGCGCTTCTGGCAGCCGCTTCCCTAGGGAGCCTGTTCAGTGCCCAACCACCCTCTGGGGGAAGAGCCTTTTCCTGAGATCCAACCTGAACCTTCCCTGACAACAGCTTCATATTCAGGTTGTTGTGCAGTGCTGTTCTCCAGGTTTCCTGCTACTCCTCTCCTTTGCCTCTGTCACTCAGGAAACTTTATGAAGAGAGGTTCCCTATGTTTATGCAGCTCCTAGTTCAGTGGAGATTTAGCTCTGACTGGAAGCTCTAGGTGCTATGGTCAAAAAAATAATATGTCACAATAACTTGCGATAAAAACTATCAGGCTATTAAGTATTAACAGTAAAGAAAATATTTACCTATTTCAGATTAACTTTCATAATTAATCCGGAAAGATTGCATTCTTTTTCACAACCAAATGCATCCCAGGGAGATGAAGAACACAGTTCAAATTTTGGTAAAAATATTTTACAGTAAGTAAGTAAGTACTGGTTTTGATTTTTTAAAATCTTATTTGCATTTGCTTTTATTTAATCCATGCAGTTTTGGTACAGGGCTGAGGACATGTACTTGCCTGCTTTCCACTGCTATGACCATGCTAATAAGGGAGCAGATTTTTCTCCTGTATCTGAAAATCCTCAGCTGTCATAAAACTTACATGTTGGTTTACCCAAGCTGATATTAATGACACACTGTTTTGAGGGAGAATATTGAGATTTCTGTAAGCTAAGACTTTTTGACTCTTTCTGTCCTGCAACATGCTTGTTAATGCTCTCTTACCAGAACATTCATTGTTAGAGAATGACATTAGAGATTTTCAAACTGAGTAGTATCATTGTCATCATCTAGTCTCATCTCCTGATGTTACCTTTCAATATGAATACCCTTTACCATGAAATCATGATAAATACTAATTTTAATCTTATTTAGCTTCTCTTTTTTTCTAAGGGTCCCACTGCAGACTTGCATTTTGGTGTTCACAGGAAGAACTGGGATCTGCTCTGTGTGATCTCTGTGTTTCAAGTACACAGGTGAATAGCTCACTGCATGTGCCTTGTGGTAACTGTGTGCCCCCGTGTCTCTTTTGAAACTGAGAAACATGCTGGTGTGTCCTGCATGACAGTGTCCATGGCTGACATACAGTTTGAGGAGGCTGCCAGGTACAGAACCAGCTGAATGAAAACCAGGTGTTTTCATTCCAGAGATCCTTACTTGACAGAGATCAAATTACAGAATCAGAGAGAGCAGACTGATGAACTCACCAGAGTTACAGGGCTAAGTCCTAAAATTGCTCATTTCTACCTGTGATAACCTGCCCCACCTAGAAAACAGATTGATTTCATAGGTCAGAAATAAATTGTTGTTACTTTGACTTGGCAGCCAGGATGAAAAACTTATGGCATGGTGTCTTTGGCTCTAGTGAAACTGAATGATGCAGACCACTAGGTATCTCTGTTAAATGAGGAGTGTATACCTATAAAAGTTACTGTATTAATGTTTGTATTGTTGCAAGTGCTCTTTTGGTTTATTTTTTACCATCTCTTTCTTTCAGCTCTTGTAGAAAAACCAGAAATGTTTTTCATTCCTTAATCACTGAATTGGCTGACTCTTACAAGATAACACAGGACTTAACCTGTTTTAACCATTTTTCATGATTTTCAGAGGGATAAAAGACACTATAAGAGGAAATAGCACCTTTATTCCTAAATCATGTCTTTACATTAACTTAAAGCCATTACTTTGGTTTTTTTGTATGTGTTTTACACCTTGTAATCTGGGAATTAAGGAGAGCTTAGATGGAATAGACCTGGTTGCATAGACTAATGCACGTGCAGTTGTCTTGGCTGTAAACAAAAGCAACACTGGCTGTCAGAGGTACAGCTGGTGTCAATTTAAAACAGTTTGCTGTCCAAGTGTAAAATCAGCATCCACTCACACTTATGATTTTTAGAGCAGTGGCTGTTAGGATGAGAACTAGAACAAGTGACAGAGAAGAGAACATAATCATATCAAATCCAGAACCCAAAAGAGCATTTCTTTGTCTGTTTTGCAATATTGAAGTGTTTGTCCTGCCTGCTGTTGCTCTGTGTTTTTCATTTCGCCCTTAGGAAAAAAATCCTGTCTGTGAAAACTAATCAGAATTTCTCTTTTAGGCATAATACTTCATAGTTAGTAGCTTCAGAGCAATTTCCTGTCTTGTTCCTGAGAGCAGAACAGAGCTTCTGAAATATACTGAAAATACTTTTCCTTCCATATTTGTTTCCAAATGCATCTCTAGTTCTTCTTCCACTTGTGACATCAATATTTCATTTTTACAAGAATTTAGAATCTAGTAACTGTGGAGTAGCTAAACAAATTATTTTTCAGTGTCAGGTCATCCCTAGCATCCTGCAAATTCCTAAATTATGCCTGATCCAGTTGATTATACAAACATCTTACATAAGTAACAGAGCTGTTGCCACTCCCTCTAGTAAATGAATAAGAAGTTTTGTAAGTGACTTACTGTAAGGTTTTATTTACCTAACTCAAGTTACTAAATGTTCTGTAAGGATTAAGTCTTCTGTGCTTCTTTCTTTCCAGTTGACTTGGAAACAGAAACTTCCACAACTCTCTATAGTTCAGAACTCAGTTTTATGCCATGACAACAAGTAAATCCCTCTTCCTTGTCTTTTAATACGCAGCAGCTCAATGGTACTGATTTCCAACTACATCTAATTTTAAATTACACTTATTTAAATTTCGTTAGTGTTCCATGTGCAAATCATAGTCAGTTCGTTCTATTAAGTTTCTGGCAGTTTTAGGTGTAAGTGTGGTGTTCTGTGATTTCTGCCCCTGTGTATCTATTGTTACTGTTCTGAACATTCTCCTTTCTGAAAATGAGCTGTGCAGCTGAGAACCATTACATTAATGATTGTGCTTTTTCTTTGCAATGAATAATGGAAAAACTGCTTCTAAATATCTTCTTCAAAAGCTAATAAGGGCTGTGTACCTGCAGATGATCTTGATTCTTTCCACTGACCATTTTTCTCCTCTGTCTACTCAGCAAGGAAAAGCAATTTTAGCATAAAGGTTATGCAGTTCTCTGAGTAACTCTAATTTTATTGAACATGAACAAAGTCTGACTGGTGAGTAACAGTGCTAAACTGAAAACAGTGAAAAATTAACTTTTTCAGTGAATTTTCAGGGCAACGTGGAAGACACCAAGTGATTAATGAGATTTTCTTCACTATTAGGAATAGATAGGGAGGCCCATTCAAGCCCTTACAAAGCTACATGTTTGCATTCTCTAAGGTGTTATTCTTAACAGGGTGGGACAAATTATTACCATCAAAGCAAAAGTGAACAGAGCATTCAGAACCAGCATGGAGGTAAGAGATCACCACTCTTATTCCCAATGATATTGAAGGAATAGAACAAAGGTGGGAGCAGACATGCATGCAGATTTATTTGATACAGATACCTGTGCAGGTATTTAAACAATAACGCCGTGTAATGAAACTCTGGTTTTGAAGTATTATAATTACATGTTTCCTGGAGAATAATCAATGTCAAAGTAGAAACTGGACCCTGAAGAACTGAAGTCTTTGGGAGCTGTATTGGGGTAGGTGGTGTTGGTCCAGTCCAAAGCTGTTGGCCTCCAAGCAGCCTTTAGATGAGATGCACTGAATAGGTGGAGTTCTAAGTATTTTTGAAACTTCTGGTACAAAAATAGGTAAATCAGATGTAAATATGTTCTTACTCTTCATATTGTAACAAATATGCAGTGCATTGCCAAGTGACTTGAAATCAGAACTGAGAATCAGAAAATTGGAAATAAGAATCGAAAATCAGAATTGAAATCAGAACCTTAGGGGTACTTTTTCTGCACTGTGCCTGAGTCCAATTCCATTAATATTAACAGGAGTAATGCATCTCACAGAGAATGTGTTCAAAAAGGCTCTAAAAATTAGAAAAAAATCAGAAGCTTCGATGCACATCAGGCATGGGAACAAATACAGTGTTTCATCTTCAAGTGTTTAATTGTGTTTTGTACATTTAGACAGACCTCTTAGCCCATACAGACCTTAGAAAGATTCAAATGGGGATTCCAAATGGCACACAAGTAAATGGATAGAAGTATCCATAAAACTGCACCTCAGTGTCTTTCCTGTGTTTTATTTTGCTAAACAGTGGTTGTACTAAAAAAACCTTCAGAGCTCAGCGAACGGTGTGATATTCTCAGGTGTTCAAAGATGTATCAGTGATAGCAAAGCAGTTTTTTACCTTTTCCCTTTTACGTGGAGAGACTGGACATGATAAATTTGATAAAAGCTGCACCATTTTGTCTCAGCTGACAATGATATAAAACCCCTTATTTTCTCCTTCCTTTTAGGTTGGCATCAAGGTTACAGTACAGGATGTTTTGACTAATGTTGAAAAAACTGTGAGTGTGGCATATGGAACCTATGTAGCCAAACCAGTTGGTGCTGGAAAGGTATTCTTTCAGTTTCCTTCTAAGCTTGAAGTGACTGAGTTTCTGTGAAATAAACCAACTTTCTTGATTGTGAAACCCAGTGAAAATGGTCATACTGTTATAGTCTGATCAGTAATAGGAAAAGAGCACAAAGTCCAGACTTTATATAGATGCGGTTGTTTCATTTTGTTTTGTTTTGAATTCTCTGCTCTGAAATTGTTAGGCTATTACTATTATTATTGCTACTGCTATTATTATTTTTTCCACTTTCTTTTGCACATTTGTTTTTCAGAGAACTGTAGTAAGGGGTGCAATATTGAGAGAGGCAAGCACTGAAAGAGACTCCACAGTCTCTCTCCTTTTCAGAGGCTGATCTAAATAAACTCTGAAACCTGCAAGGATGGGAGGGTGGGGTTTCTTTATCCTTTGCTTCCCCTTATGAGGAGGTTGTTCAGACATCACTGTTCAGATAGAAGGCGTTATTTTTAAGCTAGCTTGCAA